ACTTTAAGATTGTTTGGCTAGTTTTTGATAAAGTCGTGTATGAATAAAATTGTCTGTACAATACGGAAAGGTTTTTGTTTGTGAGAGTTTTATTTTTTTCATAGATGGAAGGTGTATGGTTTTTTAATTTAGAGTGAGTGACATGTTGAGAATTTTTTTAGTTTTCTACTTACTGAATAAACCAGTTTTTATATTATTAAGTCATTACCAAACAATTATGTATAACTGACCAAATATGTTATATGTCTCATTAAACTTATATATATATATATATATATATACACACACACACATATACTAGAAGGGTACTCGCACAATGCAGTGAGATACATCTCGATTTTGATGTTTAATTTTTTTTGTCTTAGTCGATGTTATAATAGTGTTTTACGTGGTTTTGAGAAAACAATAATATTTTTATTTTTTAATAATATATATATATATATATATGTATATGATGATATTATAAACAATTAAAAAAATTGACATTGGTACCAAACTAACTATTTAAAAATCCTCGTTTTTTTATTTATTTATTTAATTCATTTTTTATTTTTGGTTTAATAATATAACTTTTTATAAAGATAATAATCAAATATTTTGTTAGAAGTTAATAATTATTCTAATTATAGTTTAGATCTTTTATATTTGAAATGAGATGTTTATCTTCTATTTGATTGTGTTTATCTGCAGCTAGTTATATGAATTCAAACATGAAGCTTTAATAAATTGTACTTATGCACAATTTACTTGTAATTTTGATTTTTAAATAATATACATCAATAAACAATACTTCATGTATAAAAAATAGTTTTTAAGAGTTTTTGTCAAATATTTTATAATATAGTATAGATATATATATATATATATATATATATATATATATTCTTAGGTTTTTTGGTAAATTTCAATAACTCATATATGGAGAAAGTGGTCGACTCTAATCGTAATGATGAAAACCAGACCAAAACGAAGATAAAAGCTTTAAATTGAAATCCATTTTGAAGTAAATATCATGGTTTGCCGTGTTTCTTTCGATTCCACGTTCACCTTTGTAATTGTAGATGCTTGTGTTCAGGCATGGCCCGCACCATCCTAAATTCTTTTAACGTATTATTTGACTTTTTATTTTATTTTTCACGTTGTATTATAAACTTGTCATTTTAAGCCACATCTTAAAAAACTATTTATAACTTATTTATAACGTCTAAAACTCAAGACTTGACATTGGAACCATATCACAACTCAAAACGATCGATCTTTTATTTTATTAAAATTTTGATATTATTATGAAAATATACAAAAGTAGAAATATATTTTAATCACATAAAATACGTGTGTTGTTAAACAAACCATTTTAAGGTCAAATCAGTAATGAAAATATAAAAAAGAAAATGTCTAAGGGGATGTTGTGTTCAGACAAATGAATGAAAATGAGAATAAATTTTCATTCCTCTCGATTTAACCTGGAATAAAATTTTGAGTTTCTTGAAAAATGGACACATTATAGTATACTAGAAGGGTACTCGCACAATGCAGCGAGATATATCTCGATTTTAATGTTTCGTTTTTTTGTCACAGTCGATGTTATAATACAGTTTTATATGGTTTGTTATAACGATAATGTTTCTATTTTTAAATAAAATATAAATACAAAGATACATCATAAAAAACTGGAAAAAAAATTGATATTAGTACCAAACTAACTATTTAAAATTTATCATTTTTTGTGTATTTTTTTAATTTATTATTTTTATTTTTGGTTTAATAATATAATCTTTTTATAAAGATAATAATTAATTATTTTGTTATAACTCAATAGTTATCCTAATTATATTTTAGATTTTTTATATTTTAAAATTATATGTTTATCCTCTATTTGATTATGTTTATCGGCAATTAGTTACACAAATTCAAACATAAAGCTTTAATAAGTTGTATTTATGCATAATTTACTTGTAATATTGAATTTTAAATAATATGCATCAATATACAGTATTTCATACATAAAAAATAATTTTTAAAAATTTTTGTCAAATAATTTATAATATAATATATATATATAAATAAAATCAAACAATTTATTTTATTTGAAATATTTAGAATATAGTTGAACAAACTTCTATAATGAAGTCAATATTTTAATAAAGGTAAATAAAATACATTTAATGGGTCAAGACCGTGTTCCATGAAATAAACAATCGACATATGAGCCTCCTCCATCATTAGTCAACGCTTCTTACATTTGATAATTCCACTTGGTCAACTCATTTGACTTTTTATATTTCATGCATTAATGTGTTAAAATTGATTCACGTTTTATTTTTATTAGTACGTTCTTCGCACATATCAAGTTTTCAAATAAACGATTTTTAAATTGAATTTTAATTTATATTAGATTTCAATTAAACTTTCAGTTATTACGTTTAATAATGCAAACGGCTAACAACGTTGTTCGGTATTGTTTGTTTGTTATTGTTTTGTTTTTTGATATCTGTTTTTCTTGCGGTTTTAAGTTGGGGGAAAACGTTTTTGATGTTTTGAAGATGGTTTGCTTGTTGTTTAAGTTCAACGTCTTAATATGTTTAGCCTTTTAATTTAATACAAGTTTTAACTTCATGAAAAGGTCATCGAAGTAAAGGTTGTATCAAAGGTTGTCGACGTTATGACGGCTTTTACAAGTTTCATAATTGCTCATAAACTTCATGAAAGGATCTATTAAACCGTACTCATGGAGTGTTGAAATCTTCGTTTAATCACTCTAAAGCGTACATTCTGTCCAATAGTTGTCAAAAAAAATTGTTACCTTTATGTTTAGACTCGGGAGAGGACTTATGAAGGTCCGGACGGATCTCGTGTCCCGTTCAACCGATTTTCACAAATAAATTTTTTAGGGGTATGAAAGGTGCACCTACTAAAATTCAAGGGGTGCTCCAATACATTTAAAATACAAGAAACATCAACTAAAAGATTGAAAAATTCTCTTGAAATAAACGGAAAAAACTTAAAAATCGCTTGAAACAGTGAAATTCAACTAGAAACATATCCTTAAAGGTGCAGCCATCCAACAAAAATCTTGGATCTGCTGGAGACTTGTATGTGATAATTTTTCAATGCATGACATCAGACAGTAAATTTGTATGTCATATAAAGAATTATAAATACATGTGTTTTTATAATAAATTAAAAAATATATTTATATTAGAAGAAGAAAAATATATATCATTATCATATAAATAGTCTTTTATTAAATATTCAAAATAGTGTTTATAAGAATAACTTTACAACTTCGTTTCAATCGTAAGTTCGTATGTAAATTTATAAACTTGTTTTGATTTAATTACGTAAACCTATAAAAAGTGTAAAATTATAAAATTAAAAGTAGAAAAGATAAACAAAATTATTAAAAGACAAAAAATCACATCTTATTAAAAAGACGCGCGTGATATTGCACCATAGCGCACTTCAATAAGTCATGACGTGAACCCACACTTTACAATAACATTACGGGCCTTATCGTAACAACAAAATACACGTATTATGTTATATCGCGCCATGATGTCCGACATGATATGCTTCTTAAAAATCTGATTCCCATTGATTAATATTTTGAACATTTATATTATTAAAATTATAATAAAATGTTGTTACATTATACAATATATTCCTCGAACCATAATTGTAAGTAAAATTAACCAAAATAGTCATTCTCTTCAACTAAATGTACTTTTTAGTCACTTTTTAAATCGAATTTTCATTTTAGCCGGACTTAAATTCGATGTTCAGATTAAAAAACAATCTCTACTCAGATTTGCGTAAGGATACACATTTGCCAAAACAATTAGTTCAAGGATCCTCATTTGCATAAGAAAATTAATAATATGAAAATAAATTATATATATATATATATACATATATATATGGTTGGGTTCACGTGAGACCAATGGTTTTTTATTAGATCCGTAAGATCAATTTATGTTCATTGATCAACTTTATAAACTAATGATCTAATGATCTAAAGTTGCACGGTGGCAATTTTGTGATTATTGAAAACTCTCGTGGCAATTTTGTGATTATGAATGTTCAGATTGTAGATTTAATCCAAGAGTTGAGAATTGGTCTTATGGGTCTCACGAAAAACCTTTGGTCTCGCATGATCCCAAGTCTCTCTCTCTCTCTCTCTCTCTCTCTCTCTATATATATATATATATATATATATATATATATATATATAAACTCTAAACAAAATGAAAATTTTGTTCAAAATTGACTGAAATGTGAACTTAATTAGAAAAATAGTCCAAGGGCAAATTACATAAAAAAATGAACGTATTTTAACTTGATTCCTATTTGAGATAACGTACTTTACAAACTTTTATTTTGGTATCTAAGATGTAAAGTTTTAAACATTTAAATACACGGGTAACCGGTTGAAACCTAACTGGTTACCATGCTGATGTGGCGAATGATGTGATATTCAACTAAATATTATTTGTTATTCAACCAAATTTCATCTCATCACTCGTCACATCAATATAGTAACTAGTTAATGCCCAATTATCCAAATACTTAAATGTTTAAGATTTTACATCTTAAATATCAAAATTTTAAAATACGTTACATAAAATAAATTTCAAATTAAAATAGATTACCTTTTTAGTAATTTATCCTCTAATCAATTATAACTTTATAAGCTTTTAGCCGATGTATTAGTTTTCGTCATAATAAAAAAATGAAAAATTCTTTTTGTTATATGATATTTTACTATTTCAACCCCACATCTGCTTTAAAATATTCAACTTCCCCAAACACTTGCCAATGCTTTCTTTTGTCACATTCAACAAAATCTCTATTATTGTTCTCAAGTCAAATCAAAACACACCACCGGTAACCCTCCATCCTCCTCATCATCATCATCATCATCATCATCCTCCTCATCCACCATTCCTCCCCCCATCCCACTTTCAGACAAACACACATCTCCACCACCTCTCTTCAAAATTATGAAATGGCTCACCTCCATAAACCCCTTTTTCTTCACCTTTTTCGTCTTTTTCAAGCAATCTCTATGTTTRRATCCACATTATGAAGCTTGTGTCCCCCATAGCTGCAGTGCAAATGGGCCGAACATTACTTATCCATTTTTCATCAACGGTTTACAAAATTMCACTTGTGCCTACCCTGGATTAGAACTCCATTGCAAGCTTGGTTTCCCAATTCTTAAGATCTCAGAAAGCGAATTCAGGGTGGAAGAAATTGATTATGAAAGAAGTTATCTCCGACTTCAGACCACCGCGATTTCGTGGAATCAGACTGTATCTTGCCCCTCGRATATCAGGAACTTAACGCTTGACCCTAACCGGTTTTTGATTGACAACGATAYGACTACGAAACTCGTATTCATTTCGAATTGCTTGAATAACGCGAGTGCGAGTCTAGAGAGGTATAGGATCCAGTCATGTCAGACAAGTGTGGAGCTGGTCATGCTAGCGAACGATACGAATTTGAGAACCGCAACGGAGACTTGCGGCAACGGTAGTGGGATTGTGATGACGCCGGTGGAATTGACTGGCAAAGAAGGGAGGATTGACGCTACGAATTATGCAGAGGTGCTGGAAAGGGGGTTCGTGATGAGGTGGCGTGCGGCGGACTGTGGTATCTGTCGGGGCAGTGGTGGGAGGTGTGGGTGGGATTCGCCGTCGTTCCAATTTCGTTGTTTTTGCCCCGACAGACCCCATAAGGTGCGTTGCAGATCTGGTAAGAACTTTCCTCTTTGGTCTATTCACATATGATTAATGCATCAACCACTTGTAATTTCTGTCTTCTACTGGTATATTTCTTATTACTTTCCACTTTTAGAATATCTACGTCTATAGAGAGGGGGAGGATATTTTAGTAACCTGAAATAGATTAGAAACCTAGCCACTCAAGTCATGTCACGTGTTCCTTTTTGAGATTTACATGAACAGACGTATTATTTATCAGGAAATCATAAATTCAACATAATGATAATGCATCTATATTCTCGATGAATATATTACATGTCTCGTTTTTGTCTATGGTGTAAATGAGTCGAGTCGAGTTGGTCAGCAGGTTATTCGAGCTCGTCTCGAAAAAATAATACGAGGCTCGATCTCGATTAACTTCTTCAAAAGTCGAGCTTGGGCTCAAGCTTGAATAGTTTCTTAATGATTGAGGTCGAGCTCGACGCTTGTTTATCACCTCGAATTCGAGATCGATTAACTTGTTTATTTACTCAAACTCGATATTTTTATATTTTTTGATTATATAAATTGTAAACATATAAATATGTTTGCTTCAAGTGGCTCAGCTCGGTTCGACTCGACTCGTAAAGTTTAATCGAGCTTTCGAACGAGTCGGGTCGAACATTGGTTTAATGGAGCTCAACTCGTTAAGTTAAAAGAGCTTTATTTTAAGTTCGAGTAGCTTGTTAAAAGCTTGACTCGAGCTTGACGATTATTAAGCTCGAGCTCGAGTAGCTCGTTAAAAGCGTGACCCGTTTACACCTCTATTTTTTTACGGTCTTCTGATTCCAAACCAATTTTAGGTTCCTAACTGTGGTGCTTAATCAAAAGAGACCCTATATAGTATAATAATCGTAAGAACTTTTAGCTTATGTTATTGTATTATATGATTATTTCTCATCTATAGCTAGAATTTAAGATATTTATTAAAGTGTTTGTTTTATACGTATTTGGTTCATGATGTAAAACTTTTTGTTTCAAACATGTAAAAAGGGTTCACGAATACACGTTATTAAACAAATATATATTAATCAAAAACTCTAAATTCTAGCATTAAATGAAAATATATCCTATGAAATAACACATGATGCATTAATTTTCAAAATTTCTTTTATGGATTTTCAAATGATTATATCTATATATGTGTGTATTTGAACGTGTGGTATCTATTTCAACTTATTTTATCGAACGTGTATCTAATCCAAAACATTAAACTCAAAAAGTTTAATTATAAAAAAGAATGGTGCAACCATTGATATTTGATATTATGGTTAGCATTTAGCATCATAAATTAAATGGGCCCTTCTATCATAATTCTTAAAAAGAATAGTTCCGAAAGTCGTATCACAAAAGCGGGACGACATTTTATCGAATATGAAACCTCTTAAATAGGGTTATATTCAACTACTAAGATTTGTCTTAACCAATCTATTTTTGCATTTAAAAGTAGGCTCGTGTCAATATTAGTTGCTTTAGTCGGCTTGACTTTCGTATAACATCACATCATTCTTCTAAACCGAACCGTGCATGCGGGATTTCTAGATTATGTTTCTTGAATATAGCATAAGTTTGTATATAAGTGGTTGAAACTTTCTCATGATAACTTAAACATATTTGGGTCGTACATCTTGTTTGAATATTATAATACGATAAATTATCAAAAATGCAATGGGTATAAATAGTATATTTTGAGCACAGTATGTGAAGAGTTTGAAAAAAAATGGCAATGGCTGCTTTCTTTGGTCCATTTTGGAGTAATATACTTGCTACTTGAGTTTGCTCAAGTCTTTTAATTTGACTTTGATCTTTTTGCATCAAATTTCCTATTTTTCTAGCCCTTTTACCAAAATTTTGTTGAAAATTAGTGATGTTGAAAATAAGTAAAAAACTGTGGTAAATTGCGAGTTAACCCCTTGTCCAATAAGTAAAAAACTGTGGTAAATTGTTTATCCTAGGTATATATATCTTCTTATAATATTTATATACACCAAATACTATAAATAAACTCATATACCTTCCTTATATTTAGTGAGATTTGAACCCCTAATTTCTTAGGAGGTCAAAGACTACGATACCGCTAGGACAAGGAACCTTTGTTTTCTAGTCTTTGATGGTCAATAGGAAAAAAATTAAAAAAAAAATTAATTAAATTTAATGCGAAGCTTGAAAGACTTGCAGTCAACTGCCGTGTTTGATCATCATAAAACACAGATTATATTATATGAATGAAGCATGAAAAGCACCTTCACCTTCATCTTCATCAACATGTTTCTTGTTTTCTGTCTGGTTTTCTTTCATCTCTCTAACCCCACCTCCACTTCACCCCTTCGATCTCCACCTAATTCCACACATCCACCATGCTGGCGTTTCAAGTTAGACTGCAGTCATCAAAAAGCCTCACAAATACATCTCAAAGACTGCACAATCCGGCAAAGTAGAAGTTTTTCCGATGTCGTATTGTCGGGTTTTAACGGGACGTTCGACCAAAATCTAGAACATCGAAGATCATGTCAAGTTGTCAATACCACTTCAGTCTTTTTAGAACTTCTCGACCAACTGAACATCACTTCGTTCAAATGGCCATCAAATTCTTTTCATAGACGTTACCGCATGGATTCCCCACCGAACTGTGTCATTCTACGGTTTCGCTACAATCAAACCTTTTCCGAATTTGGCGATCTGTTATCTTCTGAGTTCTGGGTTTCGATTCGTTTGCGTAATTGTAGTAAGGGCCACAAGAAACAAGATGAATCGCAGGATAAGACCAAATGTATTTGCATAAATATGTATTCTCATATCAGAAGTTTATGGAGAGTGATATCCAAACGTTAACGTGTCTGTTTGCGACTAACTAACCCTTCGTCGTGTCTTTTGCAGATCAAACAGACCATAAACCGGTAATCATCGCAGGTATCTTTTCTCGTGAAATTGATCCATCTCCTTCATTTTCGTTACGTACAAAAAAATTGGTCAATTTTAACGTAGGATCAAACAATTCGTTCCTTCTATGTAAAAGTGTTACAATAGAATGATAGATCGTATTTGGATAACCAACAAGTACAATTTATTTTGAAATAAAGTGTCTTATTAGCTTTTCTATAAATACAATCTGTTATAAAACAATTGTTTTTAAAGCAGTTTGTAAGGATATTTAGACATTTTTAGCAGTCGATTTTGCTGTAGTAGTGTGTATTACAAGTCTAATATTTTTTTCTTGTGAACTCTAGCTGTGTCTGGATCTGTGTTTGCTCTTGCGGTCATTGCCGTCGTTTTCATGTTCTGTCGAGGCTACAAGCGCAAAGCTTTTGCGTATTTCTCGTCCAAAGATAAATCCCGAGACCTTGAAGATGCTAGCGTCTTCGGTGTCCCGGTTTTCTCCTATACCGAACTTCAAGATGCCACCCAGAACTTCGACGCGTCTCAGGAACTGGGCGATGGAGGTTTCGGAACCGTTTATTATGGTAAGATTTGTAACGACTCGTCCCACATGAACACAAAAGTAGATTTGTATATTAGCTCCTTATAAGATTCAAACATAGTACTTTCCGAATGTACGTAGAATTGATTAATGTTGTTGTTTTTACAAGGTAAACTCCGAGATGGCCGAGAAGTTGCAGTGAAGCGACTTTACGAGCACAATTACAAGCGAGTCCAACAGTTCATGAATGAAGTCGACATCCTGACTGGATTACGCCATAAGCACCTCGTTTCGCTCTATGGTTGCACTTCCCGCCGGAGCCGTGAACTCCTCCTGGTCTATGAGTACATTTCCAATGGCACGGTCGCCGATCACCTCCACGGCGAACTAGTAAAAACGACCCCGCTGACGTGGCCGATCCGCATGAAAATCGCGGTAGAAACCGCTAGCGCACTCATCTACCTACATGCTTCCAATATCATCCACCGAGATGTGAAGACGAATAACATTCTCCTCGATCACAATTTCTGTGTTAAGGTGGCGGATTTCGGGCTCTCGAGGCTCTTACCAAATGATGTCACTCATGTCTCGACCGCACCTCAAGGAACACCGGGTTACGTAGACCCCGAATATCACCAGCGTTACCAGTTAACCGATAAGAGCGATGTATATAGTTTCGGAGTGGTTTTAATCGAGTTGATATCATCAATGCCGGCAATCGACATAAGTAGGTCTCGTGAGGAGATTAGCCTTGCAAACATGGCTATAAACCGGATCCAAAAATGCGCTCTCGATGAGCTGATCGACCCTTTTCTACTATCCGATTCCGACACCGAGAGGATGACGAAATTGGTGGCGGAATTGGCGTTTCGGTGTTTACAATTCGATTCGGAGTCGAGGCCCACGATGAGTGAAGTGTTGGAGGTTTTAAAGGGAATTCAAGGGGATGAAATTGAGAATATGGGAGAGTTAAAAAGCGGCATAATTAAGCCACCAGCTTCACCGGAAGTTGAAGACGTGGGGCTGTTAAAAGGGCTGATCACGGCGTCGCCGGTGTCGGTGACGGCGAAATGGCATAGCACTGGTAGCGGAGCAACCACATCAAACTCCAGTGTGTGAGATTATATATATACAATCAATTAATTGTATAGGTGTAGTATTCTTTCCATATATATATATACCATCAAAGTTTACATACAGAATTTAAATAACATGGAGTTTAATGGATCAGAAACCTAACAAAGGTGATCCATTCTCTCTATTTTGGTTCATCTGTGAAATGGTTACTCATTTTAAACCCAAACAAATTACCTACGATACTAACCGGACCCATACAGAACCAGCCTCCAATTATATGAATGTGAGGGGATGTTTTTTGAGTCACTGAGCGGTTGAGACTAGTTGGAGCCAAGGATCTAACCCAGTACATGTCTTTATTTAACATCCAAATATTGGCTCGGACCAATTTAGGGTTTTGATTTTGTATGTATCAAGAATTTCATGAATGAATATGATGTTTCTTATGATATTTTTGTATGAATCTAATATGTTTTTGGTTTGAATCTGATTTAGAGTTTAATGTTTTTGTATGAATTTGTGATTTTTTTTCTGGGTTTGAATCTGATTTATGTTTTGGGCTTGAATGTTTAATGGATGGTAAACGGTGGTCTGTGATGGCCGATGATGAATGTTATCGAGAAAGAAGAAAGGGGGGTAAAAAGACCAAATTACCCTTGTGTGGGGCACATGACCAACTTAAATGACTCCAACTAATGCGTTAAGTTGGAGGGACCAATTTGGGTCCAAAACACGTTTTTTAGATCACCAATGTACTTTATAATTTCGAGGGACGAAAACCAAAAAGAAAGTATTCACGAGGGACCAAATATGTAATTCACTCTATTTACAATACCAATTAAATAGTTCTTTTACCAAAAATTGAAATAACTATATTAACAGTTTTTTTACAAATTTCTTAAATTATACGTTAAACAGATATAATACAGTAAAACAGACCAAGTAACTATGATCGGTTAAAAAACGAAAAATAAAGGAAAATAATACAAGCATAAAAGGATTGTTGTCCAAAAGACGACGTATAAAATTGATTTAGAATATCGGTTTGAGATTTTACGGAAAAAAATTATTCGTAGAAGAGAACAAAATCTTTCTTTTCCCACACTTCATATTTTAGACCATATAAAACAATTGAAGACGTATTCCGACACATCCAAATGTCCATTTTGTCCAATTGGGTAGTGGGAGGGTTCTTTAATTATACGCCATTAAATAGATCATGCATTTTTAAAGTTATACAAAAGTCTATGAAAACATAAAGATTTCAACAAAATAGTCATATTTTTACCTCCAAATTTCTATTATTCTCCCAACATTAACTTAAATGCTAATGCCTCCAATCATTTGTTGTATTTGAAAATTCGATAAACCGTTGTTATATTTTGTTGTCTGACTGTTTTATTTTTTATTGTCGAATTTTCTTGTTGAGTTTCTTAGAATACGATAGACCATTTTGTTCGATAGGTCGTGTGTTTAGTATTGATAAACCGTCAGTTATTGATTTGTTTGCTATTTCTAGAAAATTAGTAAGATTTAAGAGACACTTATCCGCATAAGAGGTAAAAGTATTTACTTAAAATGAAAATCATCAATCAGCCTTATTACCTCTGACCATCCTCTTACTGGGGTCAGAAAAAAAAAATGAAGCTTACCACAATCAGACCTTTTATCCGAATCAGCATTTAACCAAAAAATTTGATAAACGACCCTTAATTAATATTTATTTTACATTATAAAAAATAGAATAATTAATTTATAAAAAATCGTATAATTTGGGTCCCCCTAACAAGTGAAGGTGAGTAGGATGATCCTTTTGGATATGCCATGGAGCAATAATTTGGGTTGGCCATCACAATCACATGTTAACAACACATTGTCAAATGAAAACCAACCACTCATCAAACCGATGCTTCCATCCATCACGCATCAAACATATCACAATATGCCAACTACTAAAATTAGAAGGATATTCGTGTAATTTAATAAGATATATTTTTATTTTTTGTTTTATTCTTTATTTTTATTGATATGTGGTTTTAATTGAATAAAATATAAACTTGAAGACATCTTAAAATTTTGAAAAATTATATAGATATTAATATTAAATTAACTATTTCAAAGTTTTCGTTTTTTACACATCAATAAACTATACTTTATGCATAAAAAATATTTTTTTAAAGTTTTTGTCAAATATTTTATAATATAATATAAATAATTATAGATATCAAACACTATATATATATATATATATATATATATATATGTGTGTGTATGTTTTTTTGTTATATAAATTAATTTATAAATATTGGACCACATCCACACAATCTCATATTCTCCACATCAACTTCAGAAAATATACTTGCCAACTTGTATTATTTAAGGTTCAACTAAAATTTTGTTTATTTACTGTGAAAAAAAATGATCAAGCCTTAAAAAGATATTTTATGACGGGTAACTTATAATACACATGAGGGACCCTGGTGGTGTGCGGACAATGTGCCCTTCAACTTAGGTCACGCAAAAGATCGTCCACGTCTATGATTTAATATCATATGTGATAAAATTATATAATCATATCAAGAACACTCTTATTACATATGATAATACATGAGATGGGGCTTAGTGGTGTAAGGACGACTTGACCTGCAACCTATATCACGCCAAAAGTCGTCGTGTATCATGGGTACCTTCGACACAAAGAGTTTCATCAATCGTCTGCCCCTTGTTTCCGGCAACGGTGATCGATCCACTGAACTCCTCCCCTTCTTCATTTTCTCCCTCCTCCCTCCGTCTGATACGTAGTTGGTTCAGTTTGCCACAAACCCATCACACGGTTTGACGGTGTTTGATGTTGGGGATGATGACCCTCTTTTCCCCAGTAATTTTGATTAATGATTCCAATCCTCCACCATTGGTCTGATGTATGTATAGGTGTCTTTGTATGTGTGCGCGTATCATGGGTTAAAGAAGAAGTTGCAGGGGGGTGTGGGTGTGCGAGTAGAGGGGAGAAGGGGAGGAGGAGGCTACCGGAAGGGGGAGGCTGTCTGGTTTGGGTATTAGGGTTTTTATATTAACATATTCTGTATTTCCTTTTATTGTTTTATATTTGAAATTATTAGAGATAAAATATAGAAAGGTAAAAAGACTGAATTATCCCTAATTTAACATATATGTTTTTTTAACGTGGTTGGTCTTAGGGACGAAAAAGTAAATAAAATGGACATAAGGATCAAAAAACAGTTTTTAAAGACCATAGAAAAAATTCGTTATAAACAATAAATCATAAGAATTCTTGATGAAAATCATAGTTTATTCAATAAAATATTCAATATTATTATTATTTTTTAATATGAAAATATAAAAAAGGTAAATTAATAAAATATGTGCCTGGTTTAAGAGTTAACTCTATTATGGATAAAGATTTATAACACAACAAAATGCAAACGATAAGGACGCTTAGGTACGTTTGTTTTTTAAGAAGTGTTGAAGTCTGATTTTACTTCTGATTTTTAAGAGGTGGTGTTGAAGTCTGAAGTCTGATTTCACTTCTGACTTTTAAGAGGTGGTGCTGAAATTTGAAATATGAATCAATTAGACTGTTTGTTTTTACGTTTGAAATCCGAATCAATATAAACACTTACAGTGACGAAATCAACACGGAATGGTCGAACCACAGGGACGAAATCAACATGGAAACTAGAGAGGAGATCCATGAAATCAAAACAAAAACTGGAGGGGAAATCGATATACCTGGAGGTCGATTGGTTTTCATTGTGATTTGGGTCGAGACCGATTCAGAGATCGACTGGTTTTCATCTTGATTTGGGTCGAGATCGATTCAGAGATCGACTGGTTCTAATCTTGATTTAGGTCGAGATCTATTTAGAGGATGGAGATGTCTTGAGAAAACTGGAGGCGTATGAATTTGGATGTGGGTGAACGAGAATAAGAGGAATTAAGGAGTGAGGCTACCACTACTTTTTCCAGATAATTTTAAGTGTTAAAGGGTCTAAATATAAGAAAAAATAAACAGTCTGAATTTAAAAACATTTGAAGGAATAAGTGATAAGTGGCCATTAAAAGGTAAAATTAGAAAAACAAACAGGACCTTAATGTAATCATCAATATATATATATATATATATATATATATATATATATCAAAGAAGAAGTCATGAAATAAGAACCAAAGAGTTATTCAATAAAAAGTTTTCTATCATATTTACCTTTATTTTTCTTATTTATTTATTT